ACTATCGCAGCTGAAAGCAAAAAGAACTTACGGTCAAGGAGAAATGATGATATACTCATAAGTTAATAAGATTAAAGAGATAGTGAGTGCAAAATGTATGCCGGAAACATATGGTACAACTCCCATATGTGTGGCAAGAATGATTATAAATCATTTGTGTAATACAACTAATAAGCTAAATCAGCCTCAATCACTACAAATACAATATTACAAGTCAGCATCAGTAACTCCAACTATTTTATCTATGTAATATAAAAGTTCTATTTAGTAAGAGAAACTGATATAAGAATAGCAAACAAAACAAAATAGATATTCATGCATGATTTCTTACTTGGTGCAAATAACCGACTCAATCAGTAATTAGTAAAGCCATCAACTAAAACAGATAAGTTCTACTTTCGATAGTGAATACATATCAACGGGAATGTGGAAAAAAAGAATGTGCCATACTCACATTTCCAGTTCAAACTGCTGCTTATCATAAAAACACACATCAAAACATTGCATTTTTTAAAAACTATGACAACATGAATAACAACATCATTACTATGTTAAAGTCAAGAACAATATGTCATATTTATATACCTATATTTCGAGTTTAGGTTTTTGTCAAGTGTATAAAGAACCAATCTTTGTCCGCTGATTTCAAGAATACTATTAAATGTTCAAAACAACAACAACAAAAACAACAGAAATCCAGAATAAGCCAATTTAATGACATTTTCTCTTTCATTCTACTATAAATAAATTAAAAACCAGGTAGCATCCAACTATTACCAGAAACAGAGAAATCCCAAAAAAAAATAAAAAATTAAACCTCAACACCAATTACCAATAAATTAATTAAAAACTGAACTCTACAAGATAAAGAAAGATCAAATTATCCGTTGGAAAGAGGGGAAATAGGCCGACCAGCCTGTTTCTTCTCGGCCGGGGTTCCACTGCGCTGGAGGATCTCGAGATCGACGAGGCCCAGAGACATGAGGCCCAACGTCAGGCCCGACATAATGCCGGCGAAAAGGACCAGGAAACATGAAATACCGGCGTACGTGAACCACAACACCGTCCCGAATTCTATCTCCGCCCCCAGCAGGGCGGCGCTCTGGTCGGCACCGCCGTTCCTGATCGCCATAGACACCAGCGCGACCGCACTGATAGGGTGCATGATTGGTTTCTCCCTCGACACACTCCCTCTATTGATTTTCGTTCGGTACGTGCGTTTGGAGAAAGGGGAGATACAAGGACGACCTGGTAAAGGTATATTGATTGATTTATTTGACCAAATTGAGATTCTATTCTTTTTTTTCTTTTTTTCTCTTTTTAAGTAGCAAATTTGTAATTATCATTTTTCGTACTTTCTCTCTTGCGATTTTCTCCCTTATTTGAGCTACAGAACCCTCGCGTCTTCTTTTGTCCGTGTGCCTCTTCTCCGACGGGGGTTGCTCCCCCCGCCGACGCCCGACACCTTCGGTGGACGTTGAATGAATTACTTGATAATTTATAAAAATGATGCGTATGCGATACGACTATAAAAACATAATTCATGATACACATGTGATGCAATTTTGATTTTAAATATTGACTAAAATATTGTATGTCAAAATTCTGCACTTGAAGTGCATTTATTACCGTCGAAAGATGATGTATATGTTTGTGGTAAATGTGAATTAATTTAATATTTACTGATATTAATGATGATGGTTTGCATGTTTTTTTATATGAGATATTTTGTTCTCGATTGGTGAAAATTATTACTAGCTAAATATTTGTGAACCGATATTTGATCGATTTGACTATGAAAGTGGTACGATATATATGGGTCCACCTATTAGATATTATGGCTCCACTATATAGCCACATGTGTATGAGATTCGTAACCTGGAGTTACGAGATATTTTGATCAAGGAATGTGAATATGACACGTAACCTGAAATACGAAATGGTTAGGCCATCTCCAGCCTTTATCTCTATTCTAGCGCAGACTTTACTCTACTCTAGAATAGAGTTGAAAATTCATCTCCAGCCCTTATCTCTACATTTTACTCTACATTAAATATATTTTTTTTTTTATTCATTTTTTATTTCAAATAAATTGGTATATATGTATATTTAATCTTATATAAAATGTTAATTACTCAAATAATAAAAATATATTTTATTTATTTTTATTTAACATAATTTGTTATATATGAATATGTATGTTATATAAATATTTATTACCCAAATAGTAATTAAAAAAATTATGTATAACAACACGAGATGCTTCATAAATTCAAACAAAAGGATACAAATTACATAATACAATGAAAAAAAAGCATTACAAACAACGATTACAATAACATTACAACTAATTTTCTGAATTAGAAAATTCCTCCCATAAATGCTCAATCAATGCATTACGAAGGGCGATATGAGCTTCTCTATCTCGAATTTGTCTGTATCGAGCAACAAATGCTTAGAACTGAGAAGCTTCATTACCAACCGTTTCAACATCAGGGATTGGGGCTTCTATCGCAGCTTCAATCGGTGCAGAAAGATCTCGTTCATCCTCAATTATCATATTATGCAAAATAATACATGCAGTCATGATATCTTGTAAGTCATTTTTACTCCAAAATCGTGCAGGATTAGCCACAATAGCAAATCGACTTTGGAGTACTCCAAATGCACGCTCCACATCCTTTCTGCATGCTTCTTGTTTCATTGCAAAATATTTTTTTTTCTGACTCTGTGGGTCACGAATAGTTTGGACAAGAGTTGCCCATTTGGAATATATATTATCTGCTAAATAATACCCCATGTTGTACTCTTTACCTTGAATGACATAATGTGCAGGAGGAGCAATTCCTCGAGTAAGGTCAGAAAATAAATGAGACCTCTCTAACACATTAATATCATTGTTGGATATAGGCATACCAAAGTATGCATGCCATATCCAAAGATCATAATCAGCTATAATTTCTAGAATAATAGTTGGAGATTTACTACGTCTTGTATATGCACCTGCCCAAGCTGTTGGACAATTTTTCCAACGCCAATGCATACAATCCAGACTACCTAACATTCCTGGAAAGCCACGTTGCTCACCGATATAAAGGAGTCTTGCAATGTCATTGGCGTTGGGAGAAAGTAGATATTTCTCTCCGAATATCTCTACAACAGCACGACAAAATTTCTTCACGCATTCAATTGCGGTGGACTCTCCAATATTTATGTATTCATCTGTCGCATCTGCTGGTACAACGTATGCTATTATCCGAAGTGCAGCAGTTAACTTTTGATAGGTAGACAATCCGAGTCTACCAACTGCATCTCTTTGCTGCAAAAAATAATCATAATGACTTTTAACTGCATTTGCTATACGAAAAAAAAAATTCTAGACATCCGAAAACGTCTACGAAACATGGCTTCATTAAATTTTGGGTATTCAGAAAAATAATCGTTATAAAGACGATTTGCAGCTGCTTCTCGATTGCAAAATATTGTTTTTCGACCAGGAATTGAACCTCCATGGCTTTGACCACCTTGTTGAGTTCTAAGAAATTCTTGCACAAGAATATTATTGTTGTAAATTTGTTCTGCTATCAGAGTTTGCTCTGTATCATAACTATCTAACAATTGTTCAAGTTCATCATCAGATGAACTTGAAGAAGAAAATGCATAAGAAGTACCAATGTGATTGGGATTCATATTTTTCTGGAAAATGCAAGAGTTTACGAATGAATAATTTCTGTGAAGATGTACGTATAAATAGTGATACTCTTAATCTGAGCCGTTTAATCTTGATTTTCATAGATAAGAATCCTACGGTTGAAATGTGGATAAGAAAATCTACACCTTTTAATCTTAGCTGTTAAATCTTTAGATAAGAATCCTACGGTTGAGATGTGGATAAGAAAATCTACACCTTTTAATCTTAGCCATTAAATCTTTAGATAAGTATCCTACGGTTGAGATGTGGATAAGAAAATCTATACCTTTTAATCTTAGCCATTAAATCTTTAGATATGAATCCTACGGTTGAGATGTGGATAAGAAAATCTACACCTTTTAATCTTAGCCATTAAATCTTTAGATACGAATGCTACGGTTGAGATGTGGATAAGAAAATCTACACGTTTAAATCTTAGCCGTTAAATCTTTAACAGTAGATAACTGGTTATAAAGAGTTTTCATACAATTAATAACCAATTATTTACACTCTATGTATTTTTTCCAACTGTAAGGGTTCTCGCGAGTGATTATCTTTGAAGTGTCTCAGGACTGTAAGCAATTCACTCTGTTACAATCATTTTCCAAAAAGTGAATATATTGCAATTCAATTTCTAAATCGTTTAACCAGGATTGTAAGCAATTCAATTTACTACATTCATTTTCCAAAATGTGAATATATATGCCCTAAACCATATACGGTCTAGACTGTAAATATGCACTAAATCATATATTTTAGATATGAATCCTACGGTTGAGATGTAGATAAGAAAATCTGCACCTTTGAATCTGAGACATTACATCATTAGATAAGAATCCTACGGTTGAGATGTAGATAAGAAAATCTACACCTTTAAATCTTAGCCGTTAAATCT